ATCCCTTTGTGTGCGGTTTTATTGAGAAGTTGCAAGAGTTATGTGTGGGTAGTCATAATTCGCTAATTCTCATTGTTTATGTTGGAAGTCATGCATGCTGTAAACGATTTGGCCCGTGAGCGGACGTATTTTTGACGAAAAGAGCGCCTTCTTGGTCCAAGTGTTTGCGATATTGTTTGGATTAGTTCGCATTATTTACGAGCCAAAATTGACGATACGCTTCAAGCCTTAGTTTTATCATCTAAAAGATGTTGTTGGAGGGGTTGGAGAGGGAGGGGGAGGATGCGGGGTCGACGAACTACTTGGACTCGGTCCTTTAAGCAGCCTCAATTCGATGCTCTCGTCTGCGCTCTCTGTCTTATCAGCGGCTCATCACCACTGTGATCTCACACATTCAAACTTTTGCCACACTGCAGTTGGCACTTCGAAGTCCCTCCCTCCCACAAGGCTTAGTCCTAGGGCTCCACCTTCCTGCTTGGGATTTGGAGCCGAGCCAGGCGCCGTTCTCTAGTTATCTGTGCCCTCCGCCATTCGTGACAGGATCATAGAAGAAAGTTCAAGTAACCCGTGAATCCAGATCAGAACAGAAAGTGTAAAGGATGTTAATTGGGGGAACGGGAGTTCAGATCATAAGTAGGTAGCAGTTGATTTGATCAGGGACTATTGATCTCATATTCCTTGTGCTCCGTCTCCTAATCTTTCTATCTCCCAAAACGTTGAGCATCAACGCTGCTTTAATGCTGTGACAGCACCCGTTAACAACGGCTGGAAAGCGCAATGTTGAAGAACAAGTCGGCGGAAAATGCTTCTGCCGTTCATTGCAATGGAGATGATGGCACACAAGCCAATGCATGATCTCTGTGCAACTTACTGGACAAGCATTCCCCCATGATCATCAATCATTGGACTTTTTCTATAATTTTTTTTCGCCTTTGGGGAGGCTGCAGCGATGTAATACGGTTGGCAAGCTGTCGTAAAATGATAATGAGTGGCAACGTGGATTTGCTCACTTCCCCTCTCCATAACGACCGTCCGCGTATTTCATGAGGCCGAACGTGCGCTCGTTCTCAAATGGGAAATCCTTGTGCTAGTAAGTGGTTTATTGCTTCAAGTTGTTATTATTATGTCTTACAAATATACCTTGATCCTATTAATGCCTTTTATGAGTGTGCCTTTTTTCACTGCAAAAATTCAACTCTGACTAGGTATACGCACATAATTTCCTTGCGCCCTTCTCGGCATTGTCACTCGATCAATAGCGCTGCTTTTGTCTACTAGTTTTTGTATGCTGAATGCTGTAGTAGTAAGTGCAGCATGAGAATTTTGCAGGAGTGTTCGTAGAATTGGTTTGTTGCGAGTTATGCTTCCAGAAGTCAGCGCTCGTAGGGCCTCACCATCGTCTGACAGTCACATAGAGCACTGGGTGCTCATCGCATTTG